AGACAGGCTGAAGCGTAGTGTCCGGCCTTCCCGCAATAAGTACAAAGGTCGAGGTCGCGGCGCCTCTTCCTTTCTTCATCGGTAATAGGACCTTTCTGGTAAGGAGTTGAACCTCTGGGTTTGACGACCTCCTTTTCATAGGTTTTGGTCCGTTCGGTGACAACTCGCTCGGATCGAACCGGATTCGGTTCCTTCCTGCTGTCCTTGCGAGCGTTCCGCTTCTCGTCCTCTCGGTTGAGAACCCCATCATCGTGAAGCCTATTGTCCGCGTCGACAGCCTCATTCCTGAACTCGTTGAAGTCTGCGAACTCCATCCTTTTGTTCAGGATACCGAGTCGTTCCACCACCTTGGCCTTCAGTCCTTTCTTTGCTGCAGCGATAAGAGCTTCATCGTTAAAACCACACAAGGGACTGTACTGGGTGAATTCGGAGAAGTAAGACGAAGCGGATCCGGTTTGAACCAACTTGTCTAAAGCGGCTTGGGCTGCAGCTTTCTCGTTGGAGCCCCCGAAGTTATGCTTCAAGAACCTCTTGAAGGCATCGTAGTCGTGTAGGAAAAGGGGTTGGTCCGCTTCTTCCAACTGGAGATAAGACGAAACCGTTTTAAAAGCTCGTCCTCCAAGAAATCCGATAGCGAAATCGATCTTGGATCCTCCAGTGGGGTAGCGTCCAGGTAATTGTCGGAAGACCATGTTGAGTTTAACGATGAATTCGTCTAACTCCTTGGCGTCTCCCTTGAACGTGGGTGGATCAGCCGGTTTCGGTTCCTTGGTCCGTTTGGCAAGCAGATCCGCTTCGTTCTCCCGAAGGGGAACGTCCCTCATAGGAGTATAGGGATCCCGGGACCGAGCTACCGAAGGTCGGTGAAGTTCTCTAGGGTCGATAGTAGTTCCCGCTAGAGATGGAGGGTTGGATGGGTAGATGCTGAACTGCCTTCGAGGAAGGGGAGCCGGAATCTCTTCTCGTGTAGCGAGTTCGTCTCTTTGTTTCCTGATCGTCTGCATGAGTTCCAGGATTTGTTCTTCGAGACGACCAATACGTTCAGAGTCCGTTTCTCTAGGAGCCGGATTCGTTTCGATTGAGCCGGTCCTGGCTCGAGAGAACCGTTGTTCTTCCTCTGGAGGCAGGTCGTGGTTTTCGGAATAGCCTGACATTGTCCTAACCAGGTGCGATGAAAGAAGTTCCGATATGCTGTTACGGCGGAAGTCGCTAATCGAGATAGGTCCTAAGCCGTAAGGCGTAGGGTGCTTATAGGTGAATCGCAGGTAGTCGGGAGAATGTCGCAAGTCCGCTTAGATGAAGCGGGTTCGGATGCGGGATACGAATCCAGAGATATATGGATAAGGAAGGTGATCACTTGGTGTGAGGTACCGGATTCGGTCTAAGGTAAAACGATGAAACGTAGATACTTAGCGACGTCCTTGAGTTTGTAACCTCTCCGCAACACGTCTTGAAGATGTTGTAACAAGTCAGATAGGCGTGTATTGAATGTGATATCGGAACTTGACCTCTAACTATTACAGAGCGTCCTCTATCGAATTCGGTCAAGTTCCTCTAGCTATTTATACGGAGACGAGTACGTAGACGGGCTGGCGAACACTGAAAAGACCCAAGAGAAAAGAATGGCGAGAGATGGCGAAACTGGAAGAACGAGATGGCGAACAGACGAATCCTGTCGAGAGCAGCCGGATTAGGTAGAGGAGGCGAGTTTGAGTTCTCATTTGTCCCTAGGTACGTCGAGTAAGGTTGTCGAGGTCCTGAGTAGAGTGTCGTGTACCTCGAGGTCCCTGTACCTGTTTGTGATATGTGTCGGGAAGGTTTGTTGCTTCGGTGAATGGTGAAGGCGAATGGTAGGGGCGACCGAATCTGCTCCGAGGGAATCGGATTCGCCTCGTCGAGCCGGACTTAGGTGTATGCTGATGTCCGTAGATCGAGCCTGTGTGTCGGTAGTCGACTCACGTGATGATCCCGTAACAAGATGGGAGTCCAGAGGCCGTCGCTCTAGATGTGGCGACACTTTTAGAGGCAGCATCAAACGTTGTGACACTGTATCCAGAGGCCTCCCTGTTGCGGAGGATAGCTTTGTGTCGATCTAATGATCTCACGAAGACGCACACATCTCCACCTTCGTCTGGAAGACCGCGTATAGCGAATATTTGAGCTGCCAGCCGGGTTGATAGCCGTCGTCAAATCCAAGGGTGTTTCGCCATCCTTGCACCCAGCCTTTGTCTATGTTGTCCAGCATGTCCTGATGGCGGGTTTCTTGGAGCTGTATCGAACGTAAACCGTTGCAAGATTCCGCAAAGCTCCGCAGGAGATACTGCCAAAGATCATCGGCAACCTGGGTAGCGAGGTCTGCTGAAGCTTCATGGTGTCTCATCACTTTGCCGACCAGCCTCTTGGCTTCCGTTGGTCGTCTTGCTTTCAGGAGGGACGATATCCACTTCCTCAGGTTTTCGGCCATCAAGAGGATGCTGACCTGGTCGACGGGGAGAGTGTATATGTCTGAGGCCAACTCCATATACCATCAAATTCAGCTGCGAGAGAGACAGTAAGGACAGGAGAACGTGGAACATAACTTACCGAGGCAGGGGTTTCCATCATGGCTGGAAGGTGAGAGGGTCTGCGGGCTGGATCCTTTGTGACGCTTGGGACTTTGAATTGGATCATCTTCGTCTAGTCGTGGATTCTTTGGCATCGCAGAACCCGATGGAAGTTGACTATGTCAGGTGTGTGTGTGAAGCCCAGGATACGTTCACGGTAATCCCAGCGATATCGTATGGACCAACAAGCGGATAGGTTGAATAGTTATGACCCGAGAGTTGCAGCAATCGGGATAACATATCGATCATTACATCATCCTCGCAGGAGTTGGCTCGCATGGCTTGCATGTCTGCCTGATGATATGAAACCACCCTCCACTGCCTTCCGCTGCCCCGTCGATGACACGTCCCTACGTCCCAAAAAGCGTGTCATTGGCTAGCCGGGTCAATTGAGAATCTCAGTGAAACACTTGACGGACTAATCGCCACGCGCCATGATAGGCCGCGATAGATCACCGATGCTGCAACATAAGACAAGTGCGCACGTACGCCAGTGCTCGCATACCATGCAACACCCGCATACTGAATCTCCAGAATCGAATCATATCAAATCGAACCGAACTGCACCAACCCGAACACACACACCCTTATCGATCATGAATGTAGGTCAAAGTTTCTGGGAGTCCGGGTCTTTCTGAGGTCTGACGCATGGACGCGACCCCGCAGCACGCCATCCCTGTCCCTCTAATCTACCCTCAACCCGGCCGAAGGCGACAAAGAGTGTCTCAAGCACTGGCCCCGGCGCTTTGGATCACGATCCAGAGCAGATCGCAGAGCAAATCGATCTGGATCCTGGGAGATGGCGTCATGCCTGACGACGTATTGGCACACATCCGACAATGTATGCAGACCCCGCTACCGGAGTGTTTGTTCGGGAGATTGCAGTTGGGTCTGGGCCAAGACCACCGGTTGACTCGAGCTCAAAGGGACTGGTTAAGAGGCGAGGGGATAGACTATAAAGAGTTGACAGGAGATCTGGATAAACTCCAGAGGATTGGGTTGTTAACGAGGCAGGAGGCTCAGTTGAGGGAAACCAGGAGAGAGTCGTAAGTGAAGACAATAGATGGACGCCAGGTTTCCCGGCTGATGGATGCGTGCTCGGTAGACGTAAGGCGGCGACTGCGCACGAACAGCCTTCCACCACGTGAGTGTTGCTGGCTCCGTCCTTTGGGACCGGCAATTGCCGGCGGTGGCAAGTCTTGCTATCACTTGGACCGACATAACATTGACTCTCCAACAGTCACCTGTGTTTGCGATGCACCCCTCATCACTCGGTCTCAAAATCCTCGTCCATCACAAGGACCGCACTCATGTTCAGCGATACACTGTGTGAATTACTATCCTGTTAGGTCCGTCATCTCGGCCCAGGACATGTATGCCGACCTTTGACAACTACCTCTCCCCTTGTAATTGAACTTCGTGCAGTATGTTACCGATCTCTTTGTCGTCCCGCCTGGTCGAGACCATGCCTGTCTTCCATCTGCACCTGCCCTTTTTACCCGGCCTGCGATTTGTATGAGTGAGGATGGTGATGTTCTGGATCTCAGTCACCTCCCACCTCCTTGTGAACTGAGACGTGCTGATTGGCAGCATGCACCTCGTGCCTCATCCCCCTGTTGAGCTCGTCGTGCCGTTGCTGCTTCCAACAGTTGGGCTTGGCACATGGACCAGGACCGAGCCTGCCCCTGGGTCGTCAAAGGCGTGTCATTTGCTTCAGACTGATCGGATCCATAGGGGTGGCATGAGAGCAACCGCTGACAGGTTGACCGATCTGCCTTTTAAGATACATCTTGCAATTTGCCTCGTCACAGGGCTGCACAGATTTGTTCCCTGTGACCAGCTATACCACTAGGCCGGTGCAATGAAACTTCGCTCATGTTTCAACCTCTATTCAATGTCCCTGATGTGACACAAACGTGCACACCACACTGTGATTTTAGGATCAAATCAGTATTTCCACGCACGATTGAAAGGAGTCAGATACTTGCCTGAATGTCGTACCTGAAAATATTCGCAAGGATCAACTCAGTACTCCCCGGCGATTAAAAAGGATCAGATCACTTGCCTGAGTATCATCATATTGAGGTACAGCGGGCACCGCCAGATCAAAGAGGCAGGCTAATCTATGGCTGACAGCCTGCACAGCTGTACTATGGTCACCTGATGGTCCCAAACTGTCGTAGACGAAGATAGAGGTGCGGTCAATATACCAGACAATCAGGTACCAGTGACCCAGCTTTCCCGTCCCAACTTCCCGGAATGCTGGCATGATCCACTGAGATGTATGTATGCAAGACGGCTGAGTACATCCAACATGAGAACTTGTATAGCACCAACTCACCCTGTCATAGCGATCAACCTAAGTCAAAACTTCATCACGGGGTATCCGACAGCTCCAGCCCAATGTCCATGTGTCTCTTCCCTGCCTAAGGTCTTAAAGCGCCATCTTCGTGAACTTGACGGGCAAACATGCACCAACGCCTGCATGAGATTGTTGGAAGGGACAAGCCCATGTGTCGATGATGCTCGTCGTCAGTCGATTGTCGATACCGGCAACGCGCTTCAGGTCTTTGTCATCCAGGTCATACATCCATTCAGGACAGGTAAGGAGCTTCGGTTTGTGAGACATTATGCCACGATCTGTGTCACGATCTGTGTCAGAACGTGGCATGTCAGATTGTGGCATGACCAAGTCTGTTGATATATTGATCAAAAGGACCAAAAATTGACGCTTTACCAAAGTTGTTGATGGATGTACTCGAATTCGGGGGCGCAGTCGGATGAACAGTCGGCACAGGGGAAGAGGAAGAATAGAACAGGGGTGTCAGGTTGCCAGCAATCTGTGGGTTCTCTGGGACTTGCGCAGGGTAGTAGGTAGGTAAATGAGTGTGATAGTAGATGGATTACATAGTACGATAGTGATTGTAGTATTTAGAAGCTACTTATCGTATCATATAAGTACCTACTCCGCTGGAGCTGCTGGTGAAATACCCGTTTGGATGTACGCTCTAGTCGTACCGCGGATGGCTATAACAAGGGGCTCCTAGCTCGTGCCCTTGTCCAACGCCTTGGCCATCTCCTTGACGGCCCTACCTTTTCCCCTGTCGGCTCGATGATTCATCCTCGCTTTACTTTTTGCAGTCGCAGTAGTCAAGTTTGGGTTTGAGTTTAAGGTGCCGACAATATTGACACTGGCAAACAGGCTGGCTGCTCTGCCAGCACATGTTGCTGCGCTAGCACCTGGGAGCCTATTTCTTGCTCTCTCTGCCTTCTGCTCCGCAGTGAAATATGGAGTTGCAACATGGTGATCCACCTTGATGCTCTTGTTCTGATGTTGGCCATATTTCTCTCTAGATGATACGGTATTGGCAACATCATTGCCAATCTTGCGGTCAAGGTGTTGTTGGACGAGGTTGCAGGTGATCTTCATCTTGTGCATGTGTGTGCAGACGACTACAGAAGAAGCCCTAGGATGAAATGATGATGATCCAGGCTCAGGGAAATATATTGCGCATTTGCCTCCATTGATTTGTTCACAAGGAGGCTGAGGCCATTCATAGACAAGGGGGTTGGATATTGCATTTCAGATATGGTTTAATCTTCTGAGCGGAATAGCACCTGCATACTAGATTCAAAAGGCACAAAAGCCAGGTTATGTAATAATAAAGGACAGAAAAGACAGGTTGTACGGAGACAACCTGCAAACATATGGTTCTCTAAGAGTTTAACAAAGCAAGCCTGAGGTATCCTGACAGTTCCAGCTCTACAAACTGAACAGACTTGTTGGAAATAGGCGTGTGATGATTAGTCATCAGCACATTGAAGCAATCTCTACCACAAAGCCAACACACAAGTCTGTGCGCGTCAACTCGTTGTGCTGACACAATGAGTATCCTCATTGTGTCCACACGTTGAGGATACACAACGTAAATCCTCGTTGTAACGCCACATTGTGGATACTCGCTGAGTATCCCCATCGAGGATACACACCTGGGCACTTGCCCTCTCCCTTTCCTGCCTTGCAATGAGGCAACTCAACGCAACAGGACACAACTCGAAACTCTCTTCGCGGTGGCAAAACCTGCCACGTTCCTTTTACAGAAAGGTATATATAGCAGGCCATTTTGGCCTGATTTCTCTTTCCCCCTCATGTACTTCTTTACTTTTATGTAAGCGACATTGATTCATCTTCACAACAAGACAAGATCAGCAGTAGTAACAACCCATTACTATTGCCTAGGTACATCAGGTAACCAACCTTGGTGGATCTAGTTGTTACTTCACAACAATAACATCTAACCGCAATGTCAGATCATGGCAATGATGGATGTCAACCTGGACAGGCTGCTATATGTCACTGACAATTCCAATAACCAAAGTTTCAATTTGGCTTACTGCTGAATTCCCTGAGTTCCACCGTCAATCAAGATTGCAAGCAACACAAGTCAGTCTCACATCTGTCCACTCAAATCAGGCATTGACACTGCAGAAGTGCCTCATGCCAGGTGAGTATCCAATGGGCACGCATGTTGTGACAAACTTCGCTCGGTTACATGTTGCCCCACGACCCCAAGGCCCGGTTGTAGTCTTTAAAAGAGATTAGCGGACACTTTGCCTATGACATGTCCTTGTTCCATTTGAGAGCTTCCTGTTCTTTTTCAGAGTCAGATGTAAGCATTCCGCCACAGCAATGCCTACTGTGACCTGAACCCAAACCTGGAATTATCCCTAACAGTATGACGTCTACCACGGTGTTCAAACCGTTCTTTACCGCTCCGCTTGATTCTCCCTGTCTGTCTACCTTGACCCCTAATGTTCTCTTGCCAATGAACTTGACCTTGCCCGCCTTGCCTTCCGTGTTGTGAAGTAACAACTAGATCCACTAAGGTTGGTTACTTGATGTACCTAGGCAATAGTAATGGTGTGTTACTAGTGCTGATCTTGTCTTGTTGTGAAGATGAATCAATGTTGCTTGCATAAAAGTAAAGTAGTACATGAGAGGGGAAAGAGAAATCAGACCCAAATGGCCTGCTATATATACTTTTCTGGGAAGGGGCAAATGGAGGCAAAAGGCTGCGGTTTGCGGTTTGCGGTTTGCGGTTTGCGGTTTGCGGTTTGCGGTTTGCTAATTGCAAATTGCCCTTTTTGCTTCCTGCTGTTTGCGGTTTGCGGTTTGCGGTTTGCGGTTTGCGGTTTGCTAATTGCAAATTGCCCTTTTTGCTTCCTGCTGTTTACTTTGTGGTTGAGATTGCTTCCATGTGCTGATGTCCAATCATCACATGCCTATTTCCAACACTCCCTCTCAAGCTCAAGCTCAAAGTCCTCCTAGTGTAAAGGCACTCTGACTTGGCTGTTTTTGTGTAACTTCATTTTCTTGTTGAAACCATGTCCAAGTCCTAGAGACCAAGTCCTCATCCTGGAGTGAGCCGCATCCTGAAAAGGATGGAGTAACTTTTCGACTTCCAAGATGGTTTGCACCAATCCTTGCTGAGGGTGATCCTTTCCTCCTAAGTTTGCGTGCTGATCATGGATCCTCTCATTCCATCATTCTAGATGAATGAGCTGGCAGTTGTGCTTGTGTTTGATATCCTTCAGTGGTTTGGTAAGCATGTCTGCTGCCTGATCCTGAGTTCCAACATGGTGAATGGTGATGTGACCATTGTCCACCATCTCCCTGATGTAGTGATACCTGATGTCAATATGCTTTGACCTCTTGTGATGAGCTGGATTGCCTGCCAATGCCAGAGCTCCTTGATTGTCACAGTAGAGCTGAGTTGGCTTGTCCTTGTTGATGAAGCCCAACTCCTGTAGCATCCTGTTGAGCCAGATGGCTTCCTTGGCAGCCTCTGCCAAAGCCATATACTCTGCTTCACAGGTAGATGTTGCCACTGTGCTTTGCCTGATAGAGGTCCATGAGACTGCTGATCCTAGTAGCTTGAAGCAGTATCCTGTAGTGCTTCTCCTTGTCTCCATGTCTCCTGCATAGTCTGCATCACAGTATCCAATGAGGCTGTGTTGATTGCCTCCTGTGTTGTTGTCCAGTTGACCAAGGGTAAGGACCTTGTCAATGGTGCCCTTCAAGTATGCCAATGTCCTCTTGGCTGCCTTGAGGTGCTGTTCAGATGGGTTGCTGCTGAACCTGCTGAGGTAGCCAACAGCAAAGACGATGTTTGGTCTTGCTGACATGGCACTCCACATCAAGGATCCAACTATCTGTTGGTAGAGTGTCTTCCTCTGCTTGTCCTCCTTGATGGTGTCTTCTTGCCTCTTCATCATGGCATCATAGAGTGGTGTGGTGACTGTCTTGGCATCCTGCATGCCAAACCTGTCCAGCACCCTCTGTATGTAGCCTTCCTGGCTAAGTGAGATGGTCCTGTTGGGTCTGTGTCTCTCCAGCTTGAGTCCAAGGATATAGGTGGCTGTTCCTATATCTGACCATTTCCACTTGTCCTTCAATGCATCTCTGATGCCATTGATGGTGCTCATCTCTTGAGCAGCAATCAGGACATCATCCACATAGAGTAGTAGATATGCCTGTTTCTTCTTGTGATAGTAGAGTCCCCAGTCTGCTGATAGCCTGGTGAAACCCAACTCCTCCAGGTATGTGCTGATGAGCTGCCACCATACCCTGGGTGATTGCTTGAGGCCATAGAGGGATCTGACAAGCTTGAGTCCTGATGACTTCTTGTCCTGCCTCTGGTATCCATCTGGAAAGTCCATGTAGATGTCTTCCTCCAATGTGCCATTGAGAAAGGCAGTGTCTGCATCCATCTGGTAGAGCTCCAAGTCTTGAGCTGCCACAATGGTGAGCAGTATCCTGAGTGAGGTGAGTCTGGCCACAGGACTGTATGTGTCAAAGTAGTTGACCCCATACTCCTGAGTGAAGCCTCTGGCCACTATCCTGGCCTTGTACTTGATGACTTCTCCTCTCTCATTGAGCTTTGTCTTGAAGACCCATTTGGAGTCTACCAAGCTAGCTCCCTCTGGAACCTTGACCTCTTGCCAAGTTCCAGTATCCTTGACTGACTTGAGTTCCTTGTTGATGGCCTCTTGCCACAAGTCAGACCTTGGATCTTGCATGGCTGCCCTGTATGACTGAGGGTCTTCTTGTGTCTCTGCAGAGTGGACACCAGCCAGTGCCATCTCTTGCATGATGTTCAGCCTGGGTGACCTTCTGCTGATAGGTGCCCTGGGCTTGAGTAGCATGGGATCCTCATCATCAGAGTCTTCTTCTTCCTCTGATTCTTCTGTTTGAGGTGAAGGATCCCTGTAGTCCAATGGCTGATCTTGTGGGCCATTGAGTACTGGTGGCAATGCTTCCTTCTGAGGTTCTTGGTCTTGATCTTGATTTTCCTTGTCCTCAGAGGCATCTTCAGTATTAGGTGATTTGGTACCTCTATAATGTTGATCAGGAAGATGTCCTTGATGTTGTTGTGGTGTTCCCATTGGAGTAGTGTTCCCTTCACTAACTCCCTCTGGCCTCCTGAACACAACATCCCTGCTGGTGAGGGTGACATCTCTTCCTTCTTCTTGTATGACAACAAGGTAGCCTGCTCCAGTGATGTTTGGATGCAGCAGCTTCCCCTTGATTGCTTTCTTGGTGGTGAGATCATTCTTGAGTCTACCCTCCTTGGGTACTCTGATCCAGCACTCTGTACCAAAGGGGTGAAGTTGACCATATCCTGGCTTGTGCTTCCACATGATCTCCTCCAGAGATCTCCCTTGATACTGCTTGCCCATGTTGATGAGAGTGCAAGCATATTGCATGGCATGGAACCACCACTTGTGGTCCATCTTGGCAGCAATGAGCATGGAAGAGCACATCTCCTTGAGTGTCCTGTTTGCTCTTTCTGCTGTGCCATTCAGTTGAGGTGTGTATGGTGTGGTGACCTGGTGGACTATCCCATGTAGTTGCAAATATGGCTTCATGCCACCCAGATACTCTCCACCACCATCTGTCCTCAGACACTGCACTTTCCTGTTGAAAGCCAGTTCTGTAATCCTTTTGAAGTTCTTGAAGCATCCTAGGACATCCATTGCTGTTTTGGTCTTCAGACCACCTATGCAGGTCAAGCCTGTCAAGTCATCAATAAAGGTAACATAGTAGATGTTCCCATTGATGTTTGGCTTGAGAGGTCCTGCTATGTCTGAGTGCACTATCTCCAGTGGATCTTGAGCTGCCACTGAGATATCACCAAAGGTGAGCCTTGTTGTTTTGTGTTGAAGATTGGCATGCTATGACATCATTGATGATGCTCAAAGGTGCAATCTCAAGCACAAAGGGTCAACATGTGACCATGATCACATGTTGTGACTGGAGACGCACTTATGTGACTGGAGTCACACTTATGCGACCAGAGACACACATTTGTGACTGGAGTCGCAAATACGTGACTGGAGACGCAATATGCGACCAGAGTCGCAATTATGCGACTGCTA